GCAGTCTTTGCAGCCAAACTTTAAGGCCCGGATTCTCTGCTTTGACAGTCATGGCTTCCTAAATCTCAGGGGTGCAATCCTGATCCCTGGCATAGGTTAGAGCAGCCTGAGGGCATCTCTAGCTTACTGCCTACGTTCGCTAAGGAATCGCAAAGGCAGCCAAACACAGCTGGAGCACAGCATAATAAATAATAAGCTGACAGAGGAGCCAGATACACTGCCACTGTACCAGCCACTAGTTCCCCCATGCGGAAGGAATTGGTGGCTGGTCAGATCCAGCTTGTTTCTAGCCCCTTTGAGCTGGCAGCACAAGAAAATCTTAAAGCCGTACAGTTCTTGCACAGTAGATTTAACTACATGATCTCTAATTAACTTACCTTATTTTTAAGCCATTCTGGAGGTAGGGTAGTAGTGATGAATTTATTTTTTTCATTAAATGAGAGAGATTTTGGTCTTGTTTCAAACAATTGGTAAATATTTTATTAGACAAAAGAGAGGGAAACAGGGGCCATCTGGTGGCTGTTTGATGTATCACTGCAAAGTATAAACCCAGCATCACCAGAGAATGAAATCGGATGGGACTCAGAAGAGCATATACAGGCCAAGTTCAGCAGAGGAAGCAGCTCTGGCCATTTTTACAGATGTGTTTCTGAACAGAATCTCACTTTTAATTAAAAAACTATGTTAACATAACACTAAGGGCAAAATTCTGTATTCAGTTACTCCACATTCATGTTGGCGTGAGTTCAGTGGAACTATACATGTGCGCTGTGTCTACACTGCACCCCTTTTCCGGAAAAGGGATGCAGATGAGACAAGTCGGAATTGCAAATGAAGTGGGGGATTTAAATATCCCCCGCTTCATTTGTATAAACATGGCTGCCGCTTTTTTCCGGCTCGGGTCTTTGCTGGAGAAAAGCGCCAGTCTAGACGAGGTCTTTTGGAAAATAAAGCTTTTTCCGAAAGGTCCCTTATTCCTGATTTTAAGAGGAATAAGGGACCTTTCGGAAAAGGTTTTATTTTCCGAAAGCGAGCCGGAAAAAAGCGGCAGCCATGTTTATTCAAATGAAGCGGGGGATATTTAAATCCCCCACCTCATTTGCAATTCTGACTTGTCTCATCTGCATCCCTTTTCCGGAAAAGAGGTGCAGTGTAGACATAGCCCAACAGTGTAAATGAAAACAGAATTGGGGCCTTGAGAATCTAATTTAAATCTACAAATTCTGATTTAGAGACACAGCAACTCAAAAATCGCACTTAAGTCAGGAAATGTCAGCTACTATTCCTGCACGCAGTCACATCAGATAACTATAACTGGAACAAAATAGACTTTGCTCTATTTTTGTTTGTTTGCTTTGTGCATGTGACAGTTTTGTGTATAATCAAGTTTACCTAGGTGAAAAGCCCCATGCACCTGTTAAGAGTGGCTGAATTCTATCTTTTTGCCCTGTTTCACGAGGTAGGGCCTGATCTGGAAAAAGACTGCCCACAGAGAAATAGATTATCCCCATGAATAAAGTTACTCATCTGTGAAAATCTTTGAGGAATCATGCTCTTAGTTCGTTTCCCCTTTATAACAATAAGAAAATATCCTTCAAGATATCCTGGAATTGGCAGGCTACTCTGGGATAGCTGGCCTAGAAAGGCAGGAAGGTCCCGAGGTTAGGTTGCAAGCTTGGGCCTCTGGCATGACTTGTAGCAAACCTTAAGGAAATCATCTCATCTGTGTGTCCCAGTCCCCAATCTGAGAGGTATTGTAAGTACAACCCAGGAAAGAGCATGGTGCAGTCAGACACAACAGCACTGGGATCATCTAACCTTTGCTCGATTGGTGAAAGATCCGAAACTTCATTTTTGAAACGGACTGATTTCAGGTGGTCTTCCACTGTCTTTAAGTCAAGTAGGCTCAGTACTTCAAGGAACTCTGAAAAGCTTTTTGCTTATATTTTGGGCCAAATTCTACTTTCAGTTACACTGCGTAGAGCAAAAGTAACTTCCAGTGAGTGTGGCCCGGGAGAAGTAATGCAATATGGTTGAGGTCAGGGCTACATTTTGGCAGGTAAGTTACATGTCATGATCATGCTCTCACTGTCGTCCATGGGAGTTTTGCCACCCAATCTAATGGAAGCAGGGGTGCACGGGAATCAGAAAGTGGTGCTGGAGCATGAATGGTCCTGATTTGACACTCGGGGTATGTTTACATTGCATCTGGGAGCAAGCCTCCCAGCCTGGGCCCACAGACTTGTGCTAGTGGGACTTGCATTAGTGTGTTAAAATAGTTGTGTTGCAATGCCCAGCAGGAGTCCCACTAATCCAAGTCTGTGGACCCAGGCTGGGAAGCTGAGTCACAGATGCAGTGTCCACTTAATATGCAAGATAAGTAACTTCAGAAGGCAGGTGCCTCTACTTTACCTTACATCTTTTCAATTGCTTTACCTGCAACCAAAATCCCTTCACCACCACTGCACATATGTTACCCTTGTTTTGTCCATCTACTGAAACCAAATCTGTGCAGCTCTCATTATGTTGTTGCTTAAACCCTACATGTACTTTACAGAACCATTTACATCATCACCCAAGTTAGACTTTCAAGAACACTACATTTGCTCATGCTAGGTCTGAATCCAGACCAATAGATCGAGGGCACAATTTTCAAAAGTGCCTAACTAACTTAGGAGCCAAGTTCCATATTAAAAAGTGAACTAGGCATGTAGCCGCGTGATTCTCAGTGAAAGCCAAAAGAGCTCAGACTCCTAAATGTCCAAGTCATTTCTGAAAATTGGATTGGGGGGCAGATTTTAAAGGTATGTAAGCATCTTAAGATGCTGATGTGAGAGTTTCAAAACACCCATTGAAATCAATGAGAGTTTGGCACCTACATGTTTTGAAAATCGCAATAGGTACCCAGCTGCATATTTAGGTGCCTAATTACCTTGAAAAACTCAGTCCTTACTCTCCTAAGTCACTTAGGTGTTCTTGAAAATGTTACCTCAGATCTAATGATTCTCATTTAGTCTATTGCCACCTTACTAGAAGTAGAAACTGTGAACAGAATTCGACTGAACTGGATTAAACTATGGCAAGAGTGGTGACATTAAATCTGAATTTCCTTGCTTTCAAGAGTTTCTATAAGACTTTTTATGTAACTTTCACACAGTTTATAAAAACAGTTCATTACTTTCTAATAACCTCTATGCAGGCTTCTGAGCTACTGTACTTATTATTCAATGTAATTACTGATGTACATTTGGATGGTCAGGAATCCTGCGCTCCAAATCTGAATGTCTATCGCTGCCAAAAAAAAAAAGTCTGTAGAAAACAAATTTGATAGCGTGTTGCCCTGTCTGAGACTCCAGTTTATTCTTTGAAAAAAAATATATGTGGTGTTAGATATTTTCATTTCCAAATCTCTGAGCAACACAGCTGCCAAATTATAGCTTTAGTTTTCTATGTCAAAACAGTCTCAGTTTTTCTGCTTCCATCTATGCAAATAAAAAAAGAAGAAAGAAAAAACTGCTCTAATCTGAAGCCCAGAAACGCTGCTAACTGTCAGGGTGAATTTCAAATAACCCTAAAAAGGACTGTTGGAGCTGATGGATGATATTGTCGTAGTTTTTGTTTCTATTTTTATTTCAAAATGGGTTTTTAGGAACAAGACCTGGATAGAAGCTGCCCACAGCCTGCATTTCATATAGCTCCATCACTATGCATCATGAATTTAGTTACAGGTGGAAGACTGGTAGTTTATGAAATTAGCACTGGATTAAGGAGTCTTTTACCTTTATTACCTGGATACAAATTCAATGAAGGTTGGTACTGATCAAAATATATCACATCCTGACAATGGTTTGGTGCAACAGAGTTGGTGGAATTCGATCTATTTCCAAATGAACAAGTGTCCATATCTTAACAAGCACCAACAGGAGTTTAACAACAGCTTCTGCCAGACCACAAATGCAACAAGTTTGCTGATTCTACTAGACTACACATGAGAAACCCTTATGGAAGGTCCCTATAGAACAAGCATTGAACCCACTAGTGGAATGCTATGTGAGAACTGAGTACTGCATCACTCTTCTTGATCCTCCTTTATTGACACAAAAGACTTCAGCTGGCAGGTTAGTCAATCCAATATTTTTAATCAGCGGTTAATCCAATGTTTTAAAAATGAATATTTAAAATGCAAAAATCCAGTAAAGTCACATTTGTTTACAAAATATGCAAACCTGACTAAACCAGCCTCCTGTCAAGTGCATTTAGGCCACATGACCTAGCATTAACCGAAATGTTTGCGACGGTTGCTAAGCCAAAGTGATTGGTACCAGTGAACCTGGAGCAAATGTAGGGACAAATCTTGTTCCCCATCACCCTCTGCGGGGATGGAGGGCTCTTCCAACAAAACTAGTGCAGTGACAAATATAGAGAACCCATGGAAATGAGAAATGACCTTCTTTTCTGAGTCTTGTATTAGGCTTCCGAAAGACTGCTGTTTGTGTGTATTACCGATAAATGTGGCATTTTGCCTTTTCCCCCTGAAAAGATCCCGTGCAGTACTTTTAAGTACAACACTCTGAGGGCATGTCTACACTGAAGGGCAAAAGTTGAATTGAGCTACACAACTTCAGCTTCGTCAATTGCGTAGCTGACATCGAAATAGCTTAATTCAGCTTTTGGCGCTGTCTACACAGCAGGAAGTTGAAGGAAGAACACTCTTCCTTTGACTTCCCTTACCCTTCATGAAATGAGGGTTACAGGAGTCGGAGTAGGAAGTCCTCCAGCTCGACATTATTTCGAAATAACAGCTTGCATTGTAGACATGCTCTATGTTATTCCGAAATAACGCTGCTGTGTAGATGTACCTAAGTAACATCACAATCCTCCTTTCACACCTGCTGCCTCTCCAGATGTGGGTGCAGTGCTGAGAGACAAGACACTGGGGACAGGTGACCAAATGGAAGCTAGCACCATAAAAATCAATAGTCCTGCACTGAGCTACTAACCGGGTGGAACAAAACGGGTGTTTTCTCTGCCATGGGCTGCTTTCCAGTGACTGAGTGTTGAGGCTGCAATCGCTCCAGCTGCTCCTGGAGTCTCTGTCTCCTGTGCTTCTCTTTCATTTGCTTCTCCTTCTGAGAGAGCTCTCTCACACTTTCTTCTGTCCTGCAAAACATGCCATACAGATCCACCTACATTCAGTTCTAACTCAGGGGTCTCAGCCTCCTATTTGTACTCATCCCATTTCAATATGCACCCAAATCCTTATGGCAGTCCCACTGTGCCACACCCTGCTGTATTGAGCAGCGTGGGGCTTACCTGATGTGTATAGTCTGATTTCTTTGACGCATCCCTCCCAAGCTCCAGGTACTGTCCCATCAACACCCTGCAATCAGCCTCCTGTCAGCTCACGTGCTTTGGTCATTGGCAATGGTGGCAGATATTAGACCATTTAACGCTGGGAGAGAGGAGGTCTCTGGGACTGGCAGATATTAGACCATTTAGGGATTCATAGGTCAAAAAAAAAGAGCTTGAACTGCACCACAACGACGTTATGCAGCCTGGACAGGCTCTTGAGCATTGAGGTACTAGGGTCCCTGCATGAATCACTGCCAGATGCACACAACCCTTAGCTCCAGTTTCAGCTCAAGATGGGGTAGCAGAGGCCTGCCTAACTGAAGCAAGGTCCCTATTATTTCTTTTGTTAATGCTTTTTAGCAT